TCTTGCTCTTGTAGTTGATCTTCTGAGATGTGGTGCTTGTGATGGTATTTGATCTTGCTGCATTCTAACGAGATGGCCAAACCACTTGATCTGCTGTTTCTCGATTAATCTAGTACAAGGTGTCGTTCCCACAATTTGCCTGATAGTTTAATTATTCACTCGATCTCGTATGGTTAGGTTGGCTGCTTTTCTCAGGCACCTCATCTCGCAGGTGGTAATTTTGCGTATATGAGCTTTAGAAAGTGTCCATGTTTGGCACTGGTAGCTTAATGTTGGAATAAATATACTATCAATAATCTGTATCTTTGCACTCATAGTTATGCTTGGATGTCTTAATAATGGTGACAATTGGTATACAAGTGCACTTTCTGACATCTGGTTTCTATTTCTCTGTCAATTCTACCATCTTCTGTGATCATACTTCCTAGATATTTAAACTCTCTAACTTGATTCAGGGCAGAACCATTCAGCTGTATGTGTAGAGGGGGCAGAATGTCTACTAACTTGCATTGTTTTGGTGTTGTTTACATTGATCTTTATGTTGTATTTACTACATGCTGAGTTTAACCTGTTAATGTCGTCTTGCAGTCTATGTTCTTCAGGGTAGAACAAGCACTGGTCGTCAGCAAACAGTAGTTCGTTTAATGTGGGTGAATCGATTACTTCTCCTGATGTGTGTACTTTCTCGTGATTATAAAGGTCTATGTTGTCTGTATCAAAGTAACAAAGTGGTCTCTTACTAAAATCAATTCTTTGTGAAACCTAACAAATGTATCGGAAACTGACAAGAATTAGTTTTGTCGAGGTTTCGACGTGACTGCAATCGGGTCTCCGCATACCGGATCCTTTCCTGTGCCAATGGAAAATCAAATGACAATTCCTAACCTTCGCTTTGAAAAAAACAACAAGTGGTGAATAAATCACTTAGCCCCGGAACAATCTATAAATATGCGAACGCACATTAAATGACATCCAAGTGGACGATCATGCCCTCCACATTCCGCGACCTGCAACTTTGGAGGAAAAAGTCAAAGGCAAGCGAGCAAGAGGTAGGCAACGATACAAGTGGGAGGACAACTTCAAGAGATGTCCAGCAGTCTGAGAGAGGGTACAACCAGGACAAGAGAGAGTGTGTTGGAGGTCCATTGCATTCAACCTTCAATGTGAAGACGACATTTGATTGAATGATTTAAAACGTTTTGCACGAGTCCTTCTTTATGTTATTTAACTTCATTGTTTCACCAGATGGTTCTTAAACGTTAATATGGACACCAAACTATATTTTTATCTGGGTGTTTTCTAACAGTAAATTAGTGATTACCGTTTTAAGCTCTGTGTTTTTTGGCGTGAAAACGAATTTTTTTTTTTTAAGCACGCAGTATACTTTTGGTAACTAAGTGCGCACATATCTTGTATTGAGATTCTTTGTTTTGTTTTTAACGTTTATGTTTACATACGCCCGGCTCTCTAGCGTAGCTGGTTAAACCTGACATCGCGGTGGCCGGGTGACGAACTCCTCGTGGTCCAGGTTCACTCCCGGGGGTGGGCAGAAAAGCCACATCTCTCCCAGATTTACGGTATTTATCATGGAATCAAGGCCGAAGGGTTGCGATATCCACAGTACCGAGCCAAAGGGTTAAGAACTCATGGTTTCTGGATAGTTTAAAAAAAAAATGCTTACATACATGTAACATCTACTACTTCTTCTAATTTTTTGTCGTCTCACTGATACCAGGTTGTGGCCCAGTGTCGTGGTTTTTGTCGGGTAATGTTTTTCTTGGGTTTGTCGGGTGTCTTCGGTGATAAATTTGTTTCTTTTTTTTTTTGTAGGTATCTTTCTTGCTCTTGTCGGGTGTCTTCGGTGATCGCTTGTCGGGTGTCTTCGGTGATCGCTTGTCGGGTGTCTTCGGTGATCGCTTGTCGGGTGTCTTCGGTGATAAATGTGTTTCTCTTTTTGCAGGTATCAGCTACACTATTTATCTATCTTTTCTCTTTCTTTGTTGTCCTCTCGCCTTCCTCTCAGATGTTCAACTGTAAAAAGTATCATATGCCGTTTGGTCTGGCTGCATTCTCATAGGATGGCTGAACCATTTCATTCTTTGTCTGTCAGTATAATCCAAACATGGTCTTATTCCGACTTTGTATCAAATGCTGATATTCGTAATTCTATCTGGTCTGTTGCTGTAAGTGACCATGCGGAAACAGTTCATTTCACACGCAATTATGTTCTGTTCTAGTGCCCCATTTATTGTCCATGTTTGGCAACGATAGCATAAAGTAGGAGTAAAGACGCTCTTAATCATTTGCTGTTTTGCTGGAAGTGAGACATTTGGGTGTCTATGTAGAGGGGCTAACTGGTAGGTGACATCATTCTACTAGATATGGGACACTCCAGGCATCACACAACAACAAAACTCCGGGTGTATGTAAGAATTTTTGGAAGACGCACTGCCTGCATACATTGCAGCAAAGACGACCATTGGTCGAATAAATGTCCAAGTAGACAGACAAGGTAACCAGTCATGACAACTTCAGACAAGGTAACCAGTCATGACAACTTTATGCTCTACAACAAGAAAAAAAGAAGAGGCGGAATTAAATTCAAGTACAGAAATAGACATAGCACCGATAAAGATTGTCAGACTGACACCACAGCCAGGGACAGCGGAGAAAGCCCAACAACTCCCCGGAAGATAAAAGAGTAAGAGAGACTAAATTCACACAAAAATTCCAGCCTCCGCCAACTCAACGGGACAACAATGTGAGATCTATGATATTAGAGGCTACTCTACCCACAGAGGAGGACACTATTACATTCCTGAAGCAAACCATGGAAGAAGACTAAATAAATAACGCAGAAGTTAATATGAGAACACCGGAGATATAATGATGGACAAGATCAACAGACACCGGGAACAAGAACCAGAACTCAAGACCTATTTGGGACGACTGCCTGCAGTTGAATTATACTACAGAGATAGAAGCATCTAGTCGTCCCCTTGTAGGAGGCAAGTTTCCGTTATTTTTAAAACCCGCCCTGGCTTCTGCCTGGGGCCCTGAATATGGTCGGGGCATAGATATGGCCTTGCCATAGTTATGGCCTAACGGCTGAAAAGGGTTTCTGGGACCTCTACACGGGTGATCCTGATCCGCATGTTGGCACTTTGTGTCACTGGATGTTTATCGCTTGTGTGATGTCATGGTGGGGTGCAACTACCTACCTATCTCAGCTGTGCAGACTGCCGCATGTTCTGTAATTTTAAAATCTCTTTGTATTTCCATTGAGGAATAATTACTCTAGCTCCTACTTCTCCTGTCTCATTTTTAGATCCATCGGTGTACACTATCAGGTTATCTGTTCGGATTTCATCAATATATTCTTCTGTAATGGTTTTGGTCTCGAAAGTTTCAGAATTTTTAGAAAATGCTTTTGATCAGACTCAAGTCTGTCAGGGGTAATTCTTGTTTCCTTGGGGTAATTTGTGGAACAAATTTAGTGCTTGCTGCCGGAGTCTTAGCTAAGTCCCTATTGTTTTTCATGTCTGTAGCAGCATTGGGGTGTGAGGCGCTCCTTCCCTTCCCAGATTAGGAAAACTTTAGTAGGGGGCCTCAGTCCCAACCCCAACCATGCCCTACTTTCCATATGGGCAAAAAAAATCGATGGGGCTCAGACATCTTTAGCCCCCCCCCTTTTTTTCCCCTAATCCAAAGGCCATGGGTTCCAATCCCGACATTGATGAATTTCAAAAACGACTTTGGCTATCAGGTCGACCCAGCTTTACATGGTTTCCCGGTTAAGTCTTGGGGAGTAAAGGCAGCCGGTGGAATGCTAACCATCAAGTGCCAATTAAAATATTAAAATATAGGTACAATCCTACATGCCAAACACACCTGAAAGCGACAGAATTAATCTCAAACCATTGACATGGCACCATAGGTTACAGAAATTTATATTAAAGAAGCATATGTCGAATAACAAGCACAGCAACAATTTACTAACACAGTAGTCCTTAATACTTGGTCTAGAACACACAAACATTTAAGAAAGGTATTTGATTGGTAGGTTCTGGAGTGTAACCTATGGTGCCATTTCAATGGTTTGAGATTAATTATGTCCGTATTCCAAAGTTGTGGACTTCAAGCTGTGCGATAGACATGGCCAATAAGACACATTTTTTTAGGGAGGTGCCTAGTTGACCATGTTTTAAGTGCCCATATTTCCATAGCGAGGCGCATACGTCGTCTTTAGGTAACAGGTTCGATTCCCATTACGGTAACTATAGCTGTCGATTTTTATGTTGTCTAGTGTGTTCTTCTATCTTTCTACTTCTTTCTATGAGTGCCGATCAATACATTTCTGTTACTTAATTCATAAATAATATTTAACGGCCTCTAGAGTCCGCCCTCTGTTTATTACTTTTACTGTATATACGTATTTCAGTGAAAGCTAATTGGATGGAAAATAAAGTGATGCAGGCAAAAACCAATTTCTCTGACACTAAACAAAAACTAACAGTCTTCAAATAAACACGAAGAGTTGAAATCGAGACCGTCCCCAACACCCCATTCCACATATAATCACAACAAATCTCCCATATCATCATTGACGATTTGCATCTAATCCGCTTAATTACCCAACTGATTAATTTAGACGATTTAATTGTGGGACGACGAGCGGAATAATACACAACCTTAAATAAACACCCCATATCACCATCTTCACCAATATAACACCGCAAGCATAAAATACTTGTTAAATATCGCAAAATCGTGAAATATTCATTTATTTTTGTGTCAGTATTTGGTCGAGATGTCTATTTCTGAATTGGTCTATATTTCCCCCAGAGAGGAACCGGAAGTCGCGTTGTTGTATGCTCTTGTGGTCCGTCATTTCCTGAGGAGAGAACTCGTAGACCGGTGGACGTCGTAAAGATTTCTTGTTTTACAATCAAATGCCTGGCTAATGATTGTCTGTTGTTGCCGTGACTGTCCGCACGAAGATGGCAGATGCAAAACATCATCAAGCTAATTATAAGGGGTGGCTGTATAAGTGGACGAATTATTTGAAAGGCTACCAGAAACGGTGGTTTGTGCTTCAAAATGGTCTGCTATCTTACTATAGGTAAGGTGATTGCAAGGGGGAGGGCACGATTGATTCGCGTGTGATTGTAATGTAATAACTCTTTAATTGTCAAACAACGCACAGTATGTGTGTCTGGATACTGCTAATGTCACCAGTCACTATGTTTCGTAGGTTTTACGGTAAAAATTACCTCACACATTTAGTTAAGGCATTTGCAAGACTAAAGCAGTTCGATAACACTTGTATTAGTATTGAATACTGTATTCTCATTCTGACCAGTATTATTATTATGTGTGGGACCCTGAGTGTGCTGTTCTACACCTGTGATTTCATTGTTTTTATTCTGCACTACTTAGTGGTGAATTGGTGTATGACAAGCTAGATATTGTGAGGGCCCTTTACTCTTTGAGTCCGAAGGAACACATCATACGTTTATAGGTTACTGCATAGAAGCCCAATGAACGCATATCATAATGCGCTGATTTTACGTTTCTTTTGACTACCCCTTGGGCCTGTAATGCTAAACCCTTTGGGACTCAAAGAGTTAAGGAGCGGATGAACAGTGCAGAGGCAGAGATAGATCATTTACAGTCTAAGGATAATGGCACCACAAAAAGTTCCCAGGGGATTTGGATGACGCTAAACACTCAGGGAAAGGCAAGATGGATATACAGTCAGACAGTTGCTTGCTGGTGCCATCAGAATTGAAACTTTTTGCTTGCTGCCGAAGATAGGGATGGAACACTTATGGCAGTGTCCCAAGCGCTGGGATGTCGATTCTTAATTCAACATTTGTTATTATCCCTTCACCCAGACGTGGCTAAAAGAGTTGATGAAATTGAAAAATGCTTTCCTTCCTGAATAGTTGGTACTTTAACACTATCTGTTCTTATGTTTAAAAAAAAAAAACTTATAGCAGTGGTTTTCAACCTGAGTCCCCCCCCCCCCCCCCCCCCCCCCCCCCCCCCCTCCCCCCCCCAGTAAGGGAAGGGGGCAGCAAGGAAGTTTTAAGTGCGATGCCAAGCATATTTTGCTAAATTTATTTTCAGTTTAATTATCGAGAAAATTTTAACAGTCATAAAGACAAAACATTGTTTTTAAAGTTGTGTGGTAGTGGCCATGAGGGTCTTGCCATATATTCAAAAGTGGGGGGGGGGGGCACCTAAAAAAGTGTGAAAGCCACATTTGTTTAGCATTAGGAAATTAAAACTTACAGCCTTGATGCAGAAGATTGCTTTTATTAAAATAAAAAAGTTTAGTCTCTTCCTCCCCCCCCCCCCCCCCCTTCCCCCCCTTCTGATTGCTGTCTCAAGATTAGATTACCCCTGTGACCTTAAGAATTGCGTCCTGGATGGCACACTAAGAGAGCAAATCCCAGATAACATATTCAACCTCCATAGGAAGTTATGATTGGTCCAGCAGCTGGATCAACATTTATAAGCTCAGTACATCTGCCTGAGGGGCAAAGAACAGTCTGCATACAAATGAGTCAAATCTCTGAAACAGATGTGCACGCAACACTATGGGACTTTCCCCCCAAAAATCCTCCCAACTAAGTTCTGTCTTTTTGTTAATGGTATTTGTTTATACATATTATATTATTTCATGTCAAGTAGAGGACCCTTTTTCACACCTTGCTGTGGCGTATTGGGCATATAGGGCTAGAGCTGTTTTTATAGACTAATCTGCGCTTGGTGGGTGATGTAATCAGCATCACGCCGGCTGCCTTTACGTGATGCCTGTTTAAGACTGGGTCAGCCTAAGGGCCAAGGTCATGTTTCAAACAAAAATCTTGTAGACTCTGTCTGGTGTTCCCATGTTAGGCTGAGAAATCCAATTCGGTTTGGAAGTGGATTCAAACCCAAGAGCTTTAGGCCTGCAGGCAGGTGTCTGGCTACACCACCACAGCTCCCAAGTCCTGTGTAAAGTAAAGAACCATTTTTCACACCTTCAGATGTATTGGGCATGTAAGGCTAGCCCTATGTTTTATAGACCAGTCAGCACTTGATGGGTCATGTGGTCACCTTTACTTCCCAGGATTTTGCCTGGTCCCCATTTAAGGCCGGGTCAACCTCACGGAGAGCCATGATCATTTAAAAAAAATTTCAACGCTATCTAGATTTAACCCCACTGCAGGTAAGCATCTAGCCGCTACACCACAGTGGCTCGACCCAGGCCTGTGCATCTGCTCTTCATTTATTAGTCGTAAAAATAGGGGTTACTGCAGTCGAGCTAAATCCAACCAAATTAATCCAGTGAAGTGTGACTAAAAAGCTTAACGAAATTTGGAAGCAGAAAAACATGCACAAAACAAATTGATGTTTCTACCAGGGGCCTTTCTGGACATGAACTGAACTACACAACAGTAACAAAGGGGAGAGTACTCCAACCACCTAGGGGGTCATGTGAGAAACTATAAAAAAGGTCATGTGGAATGAATAAAATAAAATAAAAGAAGGTTGATAAAATAGTAGCAATAGTGATAATACATCTGTATATAATAATAGTAGGAATACAAGAGTAGAAGAAATACAAATGTTTATGATCCATAACTGGTATGCATAAGAGATAAAATAAAATAAGCATACAAGAAATGTAATAACAATACTAATAATGTGACAATAGTAACACTGAGTTCTTTCGTAATATCCTACCCCAGATGACGTTACAGGACAGTCCAACTTTGTAGAGGGTGGTAAGACTGGGTTTCCCATCTTTCTGATGCTTTTAACGACCCCAAAACATCTAGAACTGTCTCTAACCCCAACCCACCTTAAAAAGAGCAAGTACATGGAGAGAAATATCCCAATAAATCAAAGTGTCAAATAACACTACCCCTTTGGCTTTTTCTTTTACATTTAAAGTTAAAAAAAAAAAAAAATTAACTTCTTTTTTTTTTAAATGTTCTATAACAGGTATTACAAGTACAAGTGCACCTAATTTCAAAATTTCTTGACGCTTCCCTTGAAATTTCAGGACGTATACTAGCACCTCCCCCCTCCCTTTTGTTTCCCCCCAAATGTAAAATTATCTAGTAAAACTAATACAGAAAATGGTGGGGGATGGTTCTACAGCATCCTTTAAAGTAGTGATTTTCAACCTTAAAAAGGGAAAAGTTGGGGGGGGGGGGGGGGTGTGATGTCAAGCGATTTTTGAAATTGAGTTCCTTTGCGCTTGTAAACAAAACATCACTGAGGCTTGGTGGGGACAGTGATCTCTGCTATGTCTTGTCCAACATCAGATCAAAAATAGCAGACGTCATCAAGACAAAATCGTACAGTGTCAACCATCACTTTGATATTTGGGCACTAAATTACCCATTGTTGGTGCCTGTTTCAGTCATGTTATTTGACACTTGACTTATGTTTATGTTTTTTCTCCCTCCAAGTTCTTGTTAATAGTGCTTAGGATTCTTTGTTGTTCTCTGTTTAATAATTTTTTTGTTAAAGGGAGGTGTGGAGGTCTTGCCATATATTTAAGGCAAAAAAAGGGGGAGGGAGGTGACTACACACCACAAATAATAGAAAACCAAATAAGATACCCAAGGAACCTTCCTTCATATAGCAGGCCTCCTGGCGGCTGAAAAAGGATCAAATTTGAAAAAAAAATTGGACAAATGAAATTGGTGTGAGGAAGAGTCAATTGAGAAAAGTTGAAAGCCATGCTGTGAAAGATATACACCTAACTTTTAAACAAATGAGGTTACCAGTTTGAAGTGCTACCCTGCTCCTGGTTGCTTTCTAATGCATGCTTGGTAGAGTGCAGTGTTACTGTTGTTTGCTTTATTCAATGGCCAAAGCTGTATTACAAAGACAGAACAAATATACAAGTGATAACAACAGAAGAGGTGAGAATACAGAAATGAGCTGACTGTTTTCAGTCGTTTCACCAGTGGTGAGGTGTGCGTGTAACAGCTGTGGTTGCAGTTTTCAGCTGCAAAAGAAAAATGTATTATTTTACTTATTACTATTTTACTATTTATTACAAATACACCACTTGGTTTGAACACTCGCTGCATGCCTAAACCACTCATGCAGAAACTGTAAACCTATGGTAGCCTCTAGTTGCCAGTGTCACAATGCTAGCGGCACTCACAAGGAAGAAATTGTCTCTTGACACACTTTTCAGTGTAATTGTTACCCGCTAATGCTTACACATATGTATTGATGACACCTCGCCCCTGCATTTCACGTTAGTGGAGTTTTTGAGGGAAAGGGGGAATAGACCTGTGGCTCCTTAACAATCATATTGTAAAATGTCATTAATAAACTCTTTCTGTCCTGAGCAATGCATTATGTATCATCAGCTTATGTCTATGTGTATCAACACAGCACATGGTGTGTTATTTTTTATTTTGTGTTTCTTACGGGTATGTGAAAGAAATCTGGCTAAATATTTTAAATGCAGTACAGTATATTATGAGTCCCCGTGGCAGAGCGGCTAGACGCGCGCCCCGGATCGGAAGGTCGTGGGTTCGCTCCCTGGTGGAGACGGACTTTTCTTCAAAAATGACCTTGGCTCCCAGGTCGACCCAGCCTTGAGTGGGTACCGGGTGCAATCCCGGGAAGTAGAGGCGGCCAGCGTGATGCTGACCACATCACCCGTCTTGTGCCGTTGGTCTATAAAAATATAGGTCTAGCCCTATATGCCCTATACGCCTAAAGGCGTGGAAAGGGTCCTTTACTTTACTTTACTTACAGTATATTATGTATCTTTGGCAGTCCATGCATTGTTCACTGTCATTATTGTACCAAATTGGATTTCTACTTTGAAACCATCTGGTACCAAAAGAGTTCAGGATTGGATGAAATGGGTTACCGCTTTACTTAAGTGCCATTCCTGACCTACGGACAGAAACCAGCTTCAGGCCTCAGAAATGAGATATCTAAGAAACGTGGTCCAAGTGACAAGGAGGGACAAAGTTTGCAAACAAACAATATGTCAGAATCTTGAAACACAGGTGTTACTGACTCGATCGGATCAGTCACAGTTTGGCTGGTTTGGACAAGTATGCAGAATGGGAGAAAAATTGGCTGGCATGGGAGGCTAAGAACTAGGGAACCAGACCTCCAGGGCATCCCAGGGTCCCCTGAGAAGATAACATCTGACAGTCCCTGATGACACCGGACTGGAATGGAACAAAGCCAGAAAGAAAACTGCTGATAGAGAAGTCTGGCAAATCTCTACACCCCAAGATAGAAGAGGAGCAACTAATTAAGTAAGGTCAGAAATAGGTCAGAGGTGCAGATATTTCTTCCTAGCAATAAATTAAATGTTTTAACTGCCTTTTGAGGGCACATGAAGATGAAGGCATTGAAGAGCTGGTGGAGGGATCCATCATAATGTGAAAAATAGAAGAAGAAAAAGCAGCACAATTTCACACAGTTTAAAAGTGAAGTTTCTTCCATTGCAGAAACCAGGCAGAGATGGCCCACACCTGCCGGGGCACCATCAACCTGGCCAATGCTGTGATCCACACGGAAGACTCCACCACCATCGTCATCAGCAATGGGGGCACCCAGACATTTCACCTCAAGGCAGCCACCGAAGTGGAGCGGCAGAAGTGGATTATGGCGCTTGAACTGGCTAAAACTGAAGCTAGGAAGATGGTGGATGCTGGTAGGTTTGCTGTTTGTCTTCTTCTTTATTATTCTACACCTGCTTTTTATTCTTCATACACTTTCAGATGAGAAGGCAACATGCCTCTATGAAGTCTGTGATGTGACAAATGTTTTCCACTGTTCCATACATCTTGGTTTCCATTGTAACGCAATTGGCCAGACCTGAGAGCACTCTGCCGCATGTAGAGAGTATGCCTGTAGCGCATGTTTAGTAATCTGTGGTGCCTGTCCACAGGGGCAAAGTGCTGAATCCCCAATCTTAAATTTCTTGCACATATGGCTGCAGAGTCTGTTGTGTCCAGTACACAGTCTAAATATAATTGTGGGTTTCTTTCATGCGAGGAGGTTGACTGGGTCATCAGGATTTTATCCTGGATGGAAAGTGTTTCACTTGGTTCTAATGGCTACCTTGATCTGAATTTTATTTTCCTTGTAAGTGCATCTTGTAGATGTCTGCTCTTAATGACTTTCAGTTTTGGATATAGAGTTTGCTGTTTCCTTTCTTCAGATATCAGCCTGGTTATTTCTACAGTTGCTTCCAAAACTGGCTGTTGGACATTGTGGTGTTATTGTTATATCTGGACCTTTTAGCTCAGCATATCCGATGTTCTCAAATCCTCTGTTTGTTGTCTGTAATGTCATAATTGTTAAGAGGCAGTTGATCTGTCCCCCCCCCCCTCCCTTCCCCCCCCCCCCCCCAAACCCTCTCCAAATCTCCCAAACAGGGCTCAGGACCCACACTGAAAAATCGTATTTTGATGCGGACACTAACAATTTATTGCCTGGCATATTTTGCTGTATCTCGTTCGGTGCATTACTACAGAGTTAAATCAACATTTAGTAAAGTACGAAATGAATACTTTTCTATAAAACTACTCTCCTACGTTATGTAAACAGAAAGAAAACGTGGTCAATTTAAAGTTACCATGGTAATCACATGACTGATTTCAAATTTCCAGTGGATAGAGATACAGCAACTTGAAAATGTGGTTTATGCATTTCAGAAAGAAAAGGATTCATTTTGTGCTTCATTATATGTTGATTTAACTCTGTAGTAATGCACCTGATGAGATACAGCGAAATATGCCTGGTAATAAATTGTGCATTATTGAAATTTACAACATGAAAACATTGTAGGCTGTAGTTTTGTTCGTTCACTTCTGGGCTGTAGTTTTGTTCCGGAGTTAGAGTTCTGTGTGCACATCTGTTTCACAGATTTGGCTTATTTGTGTGCAGATTGTTGGTTCCTTTACTCTCAGGATGCACTCTAACTTTGAAAGAAAACACCTGAATTAGTCACCTTTCTACAGAATGCCTGTTAGGGGAGCACCGGGTCTGTTCTTCTCTCTCCCAAAATAGGGCTCTGGAACACACATGGAGAATGAGAAATGTTAAACTGAAATCAGTTTGGCCAATGAACGAATTTAACATAATGACTTTATTATTCTTTATAATGATTGTTTTCATCTTTGACGAATCCTTCAGGGGCAACCAATTGTGAACTCTTGTCTTTTCAGCATTTCATAGACTTATTTAAGTTATCTCCCTTAGAAAAACCCACACAGGAGATATTTTGTTGCACACAAAAAAGTGTTTGTAGGGAAAGGGTAGCAGTGTTGAATGTTGACCACATTACCCCTCTAACACTGATTGGTCTGTACAAATATGAAAGATTGATCTGTACAAATATGACAGATTGATCTGTACAAATATGAAAGATTGATCTGCACAAATATGAAAGATTGATCTGTACAAATATGACAAATTGATCTGTACAAATATGACAGATTGATCTGTACAAATATGACAGATTGATCTGTACAAATATGAAAGATTGATCTATTCAAATATGACAGATTGATCTGTACAAATATGACAGATTGATCTGTACAAATATGACAGATTGATCTGTACAAATATGACAAATTGATCTATTCAAATATGACAGATTGATCTGTACAAATATGACAGATTGATCTGTACAAATATGACAGATTGATCTGTTCAAATATGACAGATTGATCTGTACAAATATGACAGATTGATCTGTTCAAATATGACAGATTGATCTGTACAAATATGACAGATTGATCTGTACAAATATGACAGATTGATCTGTACAAATATGACAGATTGATCTTTACAAATATGACAGATTGATCTATACAAATATGAAAGATTGATCTGTACAAATATGAAAGATTGATCTGTACAAATATGACAGATTGATCTGTACAAATATGACAGATTGATCTGTACAAATATGAAAGATTGATCTGTACAAATATGAAAGATTGATCTGTACAAATATGAAAGATTGATCTGTACAAATATGAAAGATTGATCTGTACAAATATGAAAGATTGATCTATACAAATATGAAAGATTGATCTGTACAAATATGAAAGATTGATCTGTACAAATATGAAAGATTGATCTGTACAAATATGACAGATTGATCTATACAAATATGACAGATTGATCTGTACAAATATGACAGATTGATCTATACAAATATGGCAGATTGATCTATACAAATATGACAGATTGATCTATACAAATATGACAGATTGATCTGTACAAATATGAGAGATTGATCTCTAGAAATATGAAAGATTGGTCTGTACAAATATGAAAGATTGATCTGTACAAATATGAAAGATTGATCTGTAGAAATATGAAAGATTGATCTGTAGAAATATGACAGATTGATCTGTACAAATATGAAAGATTGATCTCTAGAAATATGACAGATTGATCTGTACAAATATGACAGATTGATCTGTACAAATATGACAGATTGATCTGTACAAATATGACAGATTGATCTGTACAAATATGACAGATTGATCTGAACAAATATGACAGATTGATCTGTACAAATATGACAGATTGATCTGTACAAATATGACAGATTGATCTGTACAAATATGACAGATTGATCTGTACAAATATGACAGATTGATCTGTACAAATATGACAGATTGATCTGTACAAATATGAAAGATTGATCCGTACAAATATGAAAGATTGATCTGTACAAATATGAAAAATTGATCTGTACAAATATGAAAAATTGATCTGTACAAATATGACAGATTGATCTGTACAAATATGACAGATTGATCTGTACAAAATATGGGTCTAGTAAGATGCACTCGGGAAATGTCTTTTCATAATTACAAAAAGGAAAAGGACCCTATTCTACGCCTTAGGGTGTATTGGGCATTTTGGGCTAGACCTATATTTTAAAGACCACTTGGCACTGAGTGGGTCATGTAGTCAGCATCATGCCAGCCACCTTTACTTCCCAGGACTGTCCTTCGTACCCATTTAAGGCTGTGTCGGCCTGATAGCAAGGGTCGTTATATTAATTCTTTTGGGGGAGGGGGGGGGGGGTCTGTAGATTGGCTATACAAATATTGTTCACAAAGATGTGGAAAGAGACATGCTAAAATTAGGTTTCAAACAGCTACTTTATAGTAATGTTTATCCTTTGAGTAAATGTTTATCTTCTAGAATAGAAATGATTATCATAATTATGTGCCCTGTCAGGTGGCGTGGGCGCTCATGCCTCCCCACAATATCTAACTCTTTGGTAATTTGAATTAATTTCACTGATAGTATTCATCCATGTCGGTGGCTTCAGGCCATCAAGCATCATCTCTCCTGGTCTACCTCTGCCTCTTCTGCTGTTAATCTTTTCAATTAAGTTGAGTCAAGAATTAACATCACAGCGCTCAGCACTCGGGGCATTCCCATGTGGGCTCCATCCTCATCTTCAGCAGCCAGCGCAGAGTCTCAATACTGATGGTACTGGTTACAATCTGGTTGCATGTTCGTCTTGCCTTTCCTCTGAGTGTAATGAGCCGGCCAGACCCTCTGATTACCTCCCAGGTGCTGTTTCCAATTATTAAGATGTTTTCCAACACCTCTCTTCTCATCATATGAAGCACACAGACTGCGTGTTTCTTTTAGTTGTACAGAATTGTTTTAGTTGTACGTAATTCGAATATGAGACATTTTAAGACAGCATTCAAATTCCAAATCATTTCAGTTTCATGATAATTTCTTTTCCAGTGAAAAAAAATGGAAATTAAATTAATCTATTCAAGGGTCTAACAGACTCTTGTTAAAATGAGTTGTCATGAGTACAGTACACTGTAAATATAATAACACATGATGATTGTATTTGAACACAGACTTAAATAACTTTAAAAAAGATATGACATAACATAACCCTTGACCGACTAGGGTCGTGGAGGTGTATTGATGGAAGCACTAGCACATAAAATGGGTTGATGTGCAGTGAGGATAATCTGTCAACTAACTAAATATATATAGATAGATTTATATTTTCAGCCTCATTTTTTGGTACAATCTTCTTCTTTTTTCTTCTTTTCGTCTTTTGCTCCCTTTTTTCTACTTTGAATTCTACTTTTTCGTTCTTTTCGCCTACCTCTTCCTTCTGTTCGTACTCTTTGCTTTCCTTACCATCCCTCCCTCCCCTTTTGTCTTCTTGTTAGTCTTCACTCCCACCTCTGCACTTTTCTCCCTAGTCTTAAGTGCAAAATGGCATCTGCCCATTCTCGTCAGGAGACAACACCTCAGCCTTACAAATCCAATTTCTGCAAAACCCTAATAAGTTACTTTTACGACATGCCTGTTTGGGATGGGGGGGGGGGGGGTGATTTAATCCTGCACCCCCTCAAATGGGGCCCCAGGGCCAACGTTGGGGGGGGGGGGGAATAATAGATTCTGTAAATAATTCCCAGGGAGCCGCAGCAGTGCAGCGGCTAGATGCTCCCCTGTGGCTCTGAAGGTTGTGGGTTCGGATCCTGATGGAGCCGGACATTTTTTCAAAAATGACCTTGGCTCCCGGGTTGTCCGAGCTTTAAATGGGTACCAGGTGAAATCCTGGGAAGTAGAGGCGGCCGGCGTAAGGTTGACCACATAATTGGTCTATAAAAATATAGGTCCAATCTTCTATGTCCGATACGCTTGCAGGTGTGTATCCTTTTAAATCATTCCTACCTGGTACATTGCTTAGTGTTGAAGGAGTTAATGATACTGGCCATTTCAGTTGAGTCTGTTTGTTATAATAACAGTTATTAACATCTGGGCTGGGTGTAAAAAAAAAAAATCCTTCTCTGAGGGGGTGCTACCTGTTGTTCATTCCATCTCTTCACCGCCTACCTCATCTTGACTTTTGACACAGGTGTTTAATTTTATGGATGATAGCCTGCCTCAGGTGTGAATCAATACTTTACAGTTGTTTAACAGCTTCTGTGAAGAAGGAAATGTTACACATCAGCCAGTTTCCATAAAACATTAAGCTGTGCTAAAATGAGCGGTAAAATGTTGTTACACGGTGAACAGTTTCTTTAAAATATTGTTACACCGCGAACAGCTTCCGTAAAATATTGTGACACTGTGAACAGTTTCTTTAAAATGTTGTTACACAGTGAACAGCTTCTGTAAAATGTTGTTACACTGAACAATTTCTTTAAAATGTTGTTACAGTGAACAGCTTTTGTAAAATATTGTTAGTGACAGCTTCTGTAAAATATTGTTACACAGTGAACAGTTACTGTAAATTATTGTTACATGGTAAACAGTTTCTGTAAAATATTGTTACACTGAACAGTTTCTGTGAATTATTGTTACATGGTAAACAGTTTCTGTAAAATGTTGTTACACTGAACAGTTTCTGTAAAATATTATTACTCACTGAACAGCATCCGATTGAATATTTTTACACTGTGAACAGATTCTGTAAAGCAATGCACTATGCTTAGTGAGGAAGGTGAGATAAAGTACATTTATAGATGTTACAAAGTAAAAAGTTTCTGAAAAATATTGTTACTGAGTTAATAATTCACATAAAAAAATCCACTCCTCTGCTTCTTCTCAGCGTTCAGGGGCTGTAAAATGCGGCGGAAAGTTCTGGTTGTTCATCCACTCCTGTTCTTATGTCTTGATCCAGAACTTTAAATGTGCATGCATGTCCGTTTTGCAGATCTGGTGTATTTGTATGCAGACTGTTGGTTCCTTGCCTCTCAGTCAGATGCGTTCCAGCTTTGAGGGGATCGTCTTTAATTAGTCGCCTCCTGTGACATGGGTGGAAAGCGGGGGGAGGCGTTCAGTGTGTCTATTCCTTATTCTCCAAAAAATAGCCTTGGAAAATCCGTTCAGGGGAAAACACTCCGCACAACTCCGGCTGGCAGTGTGCTTAATAGGAATGGGCCCTTTATGGACTGGAGAGACATCATCAGTACCATATGAGGGACTAAACGCTATAAGGCTTTCAGTTTTGTGAAGAAATATTTTTTCACTGAATAGACTTCATTCCCTGGGTGTACCAGTTGGAACCGCAAGACAGGAAAACCATGCTTGAGCAACCCGTCGCTATATCAGCCAAAACAGAATGGGAGTTGTTAGCCTCAAAACAAATTAGAGACATACTCAGGAGAAGATCGGAGCATTTATGGTCATGTCCGATGAAGATGATCTCAAAATTGAACAATAGCACATCGCTGCGACATACCACAACTTCTGTTGTAAGCTGTAGTAAAGTATTATCACACCATCAGCTGCTACATCTTACAACTTCTGTTGTAAGCTGTAGTAAAGTATTATCACACCATCAGCTGCTACATACCACAACTTCTGTTGTAAGCTGTAGTAAAGTATTATCACACCATCAGCTGCTACATACCACAACTTCTGTTGTAAGCTGTAGTAAAGTATTATCACACCATCAGCTGCTACATACCACAACTTCTGTTGTAAGCTGTAGTAAATTATTGTCACATCAACTACTACATACTTCTGTTGTAAGCTGTAGTAAATTATTGTCACATCAACTGCTACATACAACAACTTCTGTTGTAAGCTGTAGTAAATTATTGTCACATCAACTGCTACATACAACAACTTCTGTTGTAAGCTGTAGTAAATTATTGCCACATCAACTGCTACATACAACAACTTCTGTTGTAAGCTGTAGTAAATTATTGCCACATCAACTGCTACATACAACAACTTCTGTTGTAAGCTTTAGTAAATTATTATCACACCATCAACTGCTACATACAACAACTTCTGTTGTAAGCTGTAGTAAATTATTGTCACATCATCACTGCTACATACAACAACTTCTGTTGTAAGCTGTAGTAAATTATTGTCACATCAACTGCTACATACAACAACTTCTGTTGTAAGCTGTAGTAAATTATTGCCACATCAACTGCTACATACAACAACTTCTGTTGTAAGCTGTAGTAAATTATTGCCACATCAACTGCTACATACAACAACTTCTGTTGTAAGCTGTAGTAAATTATTGTCACATCAACTGCTACATACAACAACTTCTGTTGTAAGCTGTAGTAAATTATTGTCACATCAACTGCTACATACAACAACTTCTGTTGTAAGCGTAAGCTAGAGTAAAGTAATGTAACAACAGGTTCTACATACGACAACTTCTGTTGTAAGCGTAAGCTAGAGTAAAGTAATGTAACAACAGGTTCTACTTACGACAACTTCTGTTGTAAGCGTAAGCTAGAGTAAAGTAATGTAACAACAGGTTCTACATACGACAACTTCTGTTGTAAGCGTAAGCTAGAGTAAATTATTGTCACAACTACTACTACATACCACAACTTGTGTTGTTTGATATATTAAATTGGGAGCCACGTGGTGTAAATACTTGATGCTCCCCTGCCTATCAGAAGGTCATAGGTTCCGCTCCTGACAAAGCTGGTCTTTCTTCAGAAATAGCTTAGGCTGCCAGGTCGACCCAGCTTTGAGTAAGTACCAGGTATAGTCCTGGGAAGTAAAGGTGGCCAGCATGATGTTAACCCCACCACCCACTGAGTGTCGATTGGTCTATAAAATCACTATATTGTAGGATGCTTGTTTAGCAGCTGCCCGCTGATTCCCTTACCAATTTACAGTGATTGTGCTTGATTCAGAGAGTGACGAGGAGGAGGTGCAGCAGCCGGACAAGGCGGAGCTGAACATGATGCTGCACTCACTGAGTGCCAAGCTGGAGGATCTCCACACATGCAATGATCTCATCGCCCGGCACGGCCAGGCCCTGACCAAGACCTTGTCCGAGCTGGAGTCTACCCACAATCCAGCAGAGGCGTCTGCTAACATGAAAGCTGTTCAAGAGAGAGCCACGTTGTTCAGAATTACAGCCAATGCTATGATAAATGTGAGTATTTATTCTTTGAGATTATTTTAGTGTTTTTATAAGCTTTTTCATGTTCAGTTTTGTTTGTCTGTCTAGTACATTTTAGGCATTACATTTTATTTTATGACTGTTTAAATTTTATTTAACTTTTCTTTCTTTGATTGGTCTGAATGATTGATACCCAGTGACTCAAAGAGCTACAATTTGGATGTGAATTCAGTAGGAGCAAATCCCAGGCATCCTTCAAGGTTCATTGGGAATATGATGCTAGCGCCCATTTTTGTATAAACCAATAGTGTTTGATGGGTTGATGTGATGCTGGTCACGTTTACTTTCTAGGACATTTCCTGGAACCCATTTTAGACGGGGCCAGCTTGGGATGTGAATCCAGGTTATTTAACAAACATCTGTCTAGGCAGAGTTTTTAAGAAGAATTCTTAGAATATCATGGACTAAGAAGAAAAACACAAAGACATTTTACATCAGTGTTTCCCAACGTGGGGCTAACACTCCAAGGGAGGCAGTGTGATTGTTAAGGGAGGCAATTTGATTGTTACGAGAGCCATTTGATTGTTAAGGAGATCAATTTGATTGTTAAGGAGCAATTTATTTGTTTAGAGGGTGGAGTGGGGGGCAGTTCGAAAATGGAAAGGTTTAATTTCATACGGGGCATAATAATTTTAGAAAGGCTTAAGTGGGGCAGTACACAAAGTTTAATTTCATACAGGGCATAAGAATTTTAGAAAGGCTTAAGTGGGGCAGTACACAAAGTTTAATTTCATACGGGGCATAAGAATTTTAGAAAGGCTTAAGTGGGGCAGTACACAAAGTTTTCATTTCAAAGAATTTAGAAAGGCTTTCAGTACACAAAGTTTAATTTCATACGGGCAAAGTTTAATTTCATACGGGGCATAAGAATTTTAGAAAGGCTTAAGTGGGGCAGTACACAAAGTTTAATTTTATACGGGGCATAAGAATTTTAGAAAGGCTTAAGTGGGGCAGTACACAAAGTTTAATTTCATACGGGGCATAAGATTTTTAGAAAGGCTTAAGTGGGGCAGTACACAAAGTTTAATTTCATACGGGGCATAAAAATTTACAGTACACAAAGTTTAATTTCATACGGGGCATAAGAATTTTAGAAAGGCTTAAGTGGGGCAGTACACAAAGTTTAATTTCATACGGGGCATAAGAATTTTAGAAAGGCTTAAGTGGGGCAGTACACAAAGTTTAATTTCATACGGGGCATAAGAATTTTAGAAAGGCTTAAGTGGGGCAGTACACAAAGTTTAATTTCATACGGGGCGTAAGAATTTTAGAAAGGCTTAAGTGGGGCAGTACACAAAGTTTAATTTCATACGGGGCGTAAGAATTTTAGAAAGGCTTAAGTGGGGCAGTACACAAAGTTTAATTTCATACGGGGTATAAGAATTTTAGAAAGGCTTAAGTGGGGCAGTACACAAAGTTTAATTTCATACGGGGCATAAGAATTTTAGAAAGGCTTAAGTGGGGCAGAACACAAAGTTTAATTTCATACGGGGCATAAGAATTTTAGAAAGGCTTAAGTGGGGCAGTACACAAAGTTTAATTTCATACGGGGCATAAGAATTTTAGAAAGGCTTAAGTGGGGCAATGCACAAAGTTTAATTACATACGGGGCATAAGAATTTTAGAAAGGCTTAAGTGGGGCAGTACACAAAGTTTAATTTCATACGGGGCATAAGAATTTTAGAAAGGCTTAAGTGGGGCAGTGCACAAAGTTTAATTTCATACGGGGCATAAGAATTTTAGAAAGGCTTAAGTGGGGCAGTACACAAAGTTTAATTTCATACGGGGCATAAGAATTTTAGAAAGGCTTAAGTGGGGCAGGACACAAAAAAGGTTGGGAAACACTGCTGTAAATGATGTGAACATTAAGGAGAACTGGCTCATAAACAGCATCCTATCCCGAAAGCAGAAGTATTTTGGCCATGTTAAACCTCCGAGCAACCTGGAAAGAACATTGATGGAGGGTAATGTTTCCAGAAAATGAAGCAGACCTCCACAAACGTAGATACAAGACATTAAAGGTGCATTGGCTGTGAAAGTACACAGAGCTGGAGAATCAGCTAAACAAAGAGAAACTTTCAGATGTGCCGTGTTAAGGACCTGCTAATTGATTGATTAGATAAGAGTTTTGGACCTATGACTACCAGACTTGCAGGCAGGATGCTGGCCGTGTCTCAGCTGTCCTCATTTATTGCCTGATACATGTTTTGCAGTTTCTGGTTAGGGGCAGGCAGGGCATTGTTTGTATCCTTATTATTTACATTCTTTATGGAAAAACAATGTTTTGAAGATGAATAGGGCACTAAAACAGGAAAAAACTGCATGTGAAATGTGCTGTCTCCGCAAGATCACTAACAAAACTAGACAAGACAGGGTTACGAATACCAGCATTAGAGAGAAAGTAGGAACAAGACCATGTCTGGATTATATTGACAGACAAAGAATGAAATGATTCAACCATTTAGTGATAATGCAGCCAGACCAGACTGCAATTGAGATTTTACAGTAGAAAATCTGGGAGGAAGGCAAGAGAAAGACCAAGAAAGAGATTGATAAATGGTATGGATAAAATCTGCAAAAACAAATCCATCACTTAAGCCATCTGAGAAGACATTTACAGAAAACGACGACACTGGGTTACAACTTGGTAACAATGTGACGACAAAAGAAGAAGAAGAAATGTTTTGAAGGCAGTTAATTGACAGTGTTGCATGTGTTTTTTTCCCAGGCATGCAATGAATTCCATGAGCTGTCCCAGACCCAGGGTCGCAGGTGGCAGAAGATGATCCAGCATGAGCACGAGCAGAGGCTGAAGCTGGAAGAGATGGTGGAGCACCTGGCCAAGAATGTTGTGTCCTTGGAGAAGAAGGCTCGCATGTCCATCAGTGGGATGCAGATCCGGGAAACAGGTAAGTCTTTTGAGCCGTTTCCATAGCTTGTTTTCTTGTCAGTTTACGATGATGTGATCCCCGTCTGAGTTGTCCCTTGTTTTCTTGTCAGTTTGTGATGTGATCCTGATCAGAGTTGTTTACTTGTCAGTTTGTGATGTGATCCAGGTCCGAGTTGTTTGCTTGTTTTCTTGTCAGTTTGTGATGTGATCCAGGTCCGAGTTGTTTACTTGTCAGTTTGTGATGTGATCCTGGTCTGAGTTGTTTACTTGTCAGTTTGTGATGTGATCCAGGTCCGAGTTGTTTACTTGTCAGTTTGTGATGTGATCCAGGTCCGAGTTGTTTACTTGTCAGTTTGTGATGTGATCCAGGTCCGAGTTGTTTACTTGTCAGTTTGTGATGTGATCCAGGTCCGAGTTGTTTACTTGTCAGTTTGTGATGTGATCCAGGTCCGAGTTTGTGATGTGATCCACTTGTCAGTTTTCTTGTTGTGATGTGATCCAGGTCCGAGTTGTTTACTTGTCAGTTTGTGATGTGATCCTGGTCTGAGTTGTTTACTTGTCAGTTTGTGATGTGATCCAGGTCCGAGTTGTTTACTTGTCAGTTTGTGATGTGATCCTGGTCTGAGTTGTTTACTTGTCAGTTTGTGATGTGATCCAGGTCCGAGTTGTTTACTTGTCAGTTTGTGATGTGATCCTGGTGATGTGATCTGGTCCGTTGTTTACTTGTCAGTTTGTGATGTGATCCAGGTCCGAGTTGTTTACTTGTCAGTTTGTGATGTGATCCTGGTCTGAGCTGTTTACTTGTCAGTTTGTGATGTGATCCAGGTCCGAGTTGTTTACTTGTCAGTTTGTGATGTGATCCAGGTCCGAGTTGTTTGCCTGGTCCGAGTTGTTTACTTGTCAGTTTGTTGTGATCCTGGTCCGAGTGTTTACTTGTCAGTTTGTGATGTGATCCAGGTCCGAGTTGTTTACTTGTCAGTTTGTTATGTGATCCAGGTCCGAGTTGTTTACTTGTCAGTTTGTGATGTGATCCAGGTCTGAGTTGTTTACTTGTCAGTTTGTGATGTAATCCAGGTCTGAGTTGTTTACTTGTCAGTTTGTGATGTGATCAGGTGGTCTAAGTTGTTCCCTTGTTTTCTTGTCAGTTTGTGACATGTACAGTTAAATCCTTGAGTCATTCTTTTGGCTTGTTTTGGCATCATATATTTTTCTCAAAAAGAGAACTCATTGCCCACATCAGTAAAAGACAATCTTCATTCTTTGGTCATGTCATGAGGAGAAAACTGGAGTACATGACAATGGGAAATTACTTTTTAATGACCTTGGCTTCCAGATTTAGTCAGGTTTAAATGGGTACCTGGTTAAGTCCAGGGAAGTAAAGGTGGACATCGGTATGTTTACATCTCCCACCGAGTGCTGATTGGTCTATAAAATAGAGGTCTAGCCCTATATGCCTTGTACGCGTGGAAAAGGGTCCTTTACTTTTCTTAGCCACGGTAAGGTGATGGAATTTCTCCATTGGGGGCAGAAGTAAATATCCTAACCTGCACAGTGTGTGGCGACAGCACTAGCCAAGCGGTCCTAAATCCTCAGGCTGACAACCGAGAAGAAGATGGATTGAAGGAGTCACTGACACCTTGAGACTGCATAACATCATGTCATATCAAGCGACTGAGCGCGCGCCTGGCTCGGCTGCCGATCATCTGATGAGCTGCGACACCTAGCGACATAAGCAGATATTGTTTAAAAAGAAGAAGAAGAAGAAGACTCACCTAGCGGACAGGAGTAATCCTTCCCAGTTATTTACATCTGGTGACCTTCATGTCCCTTGTTTAACTCTTTTAGTTCCAGGCAACTCCCTCTGCGTTTGTCGGTCTTTGCTTATATGTTTTAATTTCATTAACTCTTTATGTTCCGTCCAATTAGTGTATTAACTCAGTCTGTACCTATAGTGGGGGAAAAAAAGGGCAAAGAAGAACCTGGAAGGACAACATCAAGAAATGGACCAGACTAAGTTATCATACAATTATTCATCAAGTGGTAAAGGGAGGAAGATGGCGTGTTTTATTTGCTAGTGCTTCTATAGATACAACTCCATGACACCTTATGGGTCAAGGGTTATGTTATGCACCTATAGTTACTTTAACCCATTCTGTCACACAGTGTTTGTATTACGTCAGGTAAAAATATGCATTAGTTAAAGTAACAATTTCTTCTGATCAGTAATCATAACGCGTTAAAAAAGAATTAAGTTAGTGTGCACTGAACCAAAACGTGTGGGGGGGGGGCAATTGTAATTTTACCAGGCAGTTTTATGCTCAGTAGTTTGCCATTGCCTGCTAAACGGTCGATATCACTGTCAAAACCAACTCTATGTGGTCTGTTGTCACATCACCTCCTGCTGGGAATGAACCCAGCGCCTTGGCAATGTGAATGGCATTCTCCTCCTACTCTTCCTCCTACTTCTCCTACTCTTCCTTCCTCTCTTCCTACTCTTCCTCTTCTTTTCATTCTTCAAGTGGAGTACAGAGCCTCCCAACACTACATACCAGGCACCTTGTAGGCTTGGTTGTGATTGGCTACATTTTGTAGCTAAAGTGTTAAACAGAATGAGGTAGCCCCTCACACGCCACCCTTCCTTAGTGGCTTATTGCGACATGCACCACAGACTACAGTGATACTGTTATTTACCTCCCTTATGTGTCCAGCATACAGAAGACCAGTGCATAAATTGTTTTTGGTTTTTTTGTTTATTTATTTTAGTTTTCATGACATTGGGTCACAGAATACTCTCTCCCCATTTTTCTCTCTCACTCTCTCTCTCTCTCTCTCTCTCTCTCTCTCTCTCTCTCTCTCTCTCTCTCTCAGCCCCAGATGTAAACAGACCTTCTGACCAATATGTGATCCTCTAAAAAAAAGTATTTGTTTGCTGTCTTTCTTCCCTCTTTTTTCTTTCTTTCTTTCATTTTTTCTTTCTTTCTTCATTCATGTCTTTATTCTTTCTTCATTCATGTCTTTATTCTTTCTTCATTCATGTCTTTATTCTTTCTTTCTTCATTCATGTCTTTATTCTTACTTTCTTCATTTCTTTATTTTTTCCTTTCTTTAATTCTACATTAATTTCATCCTTCCTTTCTTTCTTTCTCTCACCCTGGAGTGTCAGATGTGCGGATATGTTGTCCAGTTTGAGACACTTTGAAAATGAAAGTGTGTTTATTCTCTGTGTGGTTTTCGTTTTCTGTCTTGCTGACCCCCCACGACCACCACCAATATACGATCTACATGCGTGCCCAATTTGTGACACATTAAAGATAAAACTGTGTTCTCTCTCTCTCTCTCTCTCACATACATACACACACACATACATACATAATAAAATACATACACACGCACACACACATATATGCACACATACACGTGTGTGTATACATACATACATACATACATATACATGCATACATACACACGTGTGGGGATACATAAATATAAAATACATACACATTTATACATATATACACACAGACGCAAACGTGTATGTATGTCTTTTATCTATATATGCATGTATGTACACGTGTGTGAATATATCTCTCAGACGTACACTCTCTCTCTCTCTCTCTCTCTCTCTCTCTCTCTCTCTCTCTCTCTCTCTCTCTCTCCTGTCCTCACGTTTCCCCATAACCGTATAAAGCTTGTCTCCATCGATCAGTGAGGATTGAGACCTGATCGATGTTGTCAGTTCTGTAATGGCAGCTCAAGGGCTATTTCAGCTCGGACAGGCGGCAGCGATTACGTCATAAGGTCACCCACTTAACTGCTGGGCATGCCGGCGGGCCCACAGAGAATGTAGGTCAGCCCGGTTCCAGAGATGGTCCCCCTCCCGGAACGGTCTGATAGTCTGGTCGATGCAGTAGATTGATTTTAGTTATTTCACCGTTATTGCCAGTCTCCGACCCTCTTTTTCCGCTCGTTCCCTCTCGTCTCCGTTCTATATCAGCCCCCGTGTCCATAACTCCTTTGGAACTTCTGATATCAGGCTTGTGAGTGGTTTCTCAGGCGAGCGGAAAGGGACACAGTCTGGCTGTTAGTGTGTGAGGCCGGTGGTGTGGTTAGGCGCTGTGTTCCATTTATTTGTACGGATATTTTGTTTGGTGGTCTTGACTGGATTGTAAGCATCTGTGGGTCTATTTCTTTATTGATGGATTGTTGTGAATTGATAGTACACATCGCGTGATACTGTGTGTTTTAGTGTACTTTTGTGCTGGCTATTTTCGTCTCACGCAACAAGTCTTGAGTTCGGGTGATAAACAATATTTTCATTGCTTGGTCTGCATTCCTTCGCGTCGGCATTGAAGTGACCACGTTCGGGTTTCCCCTCTCGTAAAATGTCTCACCTTCCGTAACTGTCTCTGTATGAGAGTGTATGTATGAATGAGTGTTTATCTATATATGGGTATGTCTGTGTATGTATGAGCATATAAGAGTGTAGGAATACGTGTTTTTTCGGAGTGTATATGATTAAGAATACATGATGTGTGTATGTATGTATATGTATAGGTGTGTCTGTGTATGTATGAGCATATAAGAGTATATGTATACGTTTATATTCGGAGTGTATATGATTCAGTATACATGATTTGTGTATGTATGTATATGTATGGGTGTGTCTATGTATGTATGAGCATATACGAGAGTATGTATACGTGTATATTTAGTGTGTATATGATTCAGTATACATGATGCGTCTGCATTATTTCATCATGTATATTTGTATATAAACATAATATTCATCATTGATAATATGTAGTTGGGAGCCAAATTTGTTACCCCTTTGAAAAGAAAGTTTGTTCGTTCTCTCCATCTCTCCACCCAGTACCCACACTGTTTCTAACACATACACGTGACACACACACGGCCTTTGATAGTTTCTAACACATAGACGGTGACACACACACACACGGCCTCTGAAAGTTTCTAACACATACACTATGACACACACGGCCTCTGATAGTTTATAACACA